ACTGGCTCGCTGACCATTTACTATTTCCAAAAACAGAGGACTTGATCTCAGTGAGTACTGGAGTAGTAGCTAATGAAAAAATTAACTGCCACTAAGCATACAAAGTAGGTATGACGATGATGTCTGAAATTGCTAATACTGAATTCGGAAAACTTTCTTTTAAACGGAAACGGACAGTTTCGATCCTGAAGAACATGTTTTCATCAGTTACTATTAAAGATTAAATAATTCCCATAAATTCGGACACATTATTTAAGAGGATGCTACTTCAAAAAAAGTCAGACGAGGAGCTCATGGAATTTTTCGCATATGAATTGATGCCTTACTTCTTAGCTATCTTCGACGACGGTTGTCTTCGGAAAGGAAAGAAATCATCATTTTACGATTGCTTCAATCCGCTATCACATAATGAAAATTTTCAAAATGTGATGCACATCATCGATGGTGGATTTTTACTCCACAGAGTGGTGTGGACTGTCAATGGCACATTTGAAGAAATTGCGAGAAAATACGTGAAATATATGTATAACGACTTATCGACACACAAATGTGGTGGTATTCGATGGGTATCCAGACGAAGCCTATTCAAAAGGGACGAAAAGTGCTGAAAGACTTAGACATGCAAAGAAGAATTTGTGTCCAGACATTAAGATTATCCCGACTATGAAACCAGTGATTATAAAAGACGTCTTCCTTGACAACGGCTGTAATTATATTATAAAATCAATATTGGAAACAGAGACAAATCTCTCCAATAAGAGCAAGCGTCAAGATACGTTTTGTTAATAATAAAAGGAGTGTAACTAGGAACAGTTCTTTTGAAGACAGCGCAAAAACTAGTCGAAATAAATTGATGTTAATTACATTTGTGAATTATTTTCTCGGCACTTACGAAACCTCTCTTATATGATAAACAAGAACAAATTTTTATCAAATGATAACAATAAACAACAATGAATCACTTTATTACTAGAAGCAATGGCAGCTGCACAGATTAAAACACATCAAGCGGAAGAAGACGCTGATTATCTGATTATTAGCACTGCCGCTGAGAAGTCGATGTTATTTAGTAAAGTGATTATTAATGGCGAAGACGTTGACTTGTTGGTAATACTTTCGTTGCTTCTAGAACAGTATTCTAATATTATTTGCTCAAGCCAAGCCGCAACAAATTGAAGTCAAGATTATATTCAACTCAAAGTTTTAAATATCAGTAACTGAGACAATTTATCGGATTTCTGCACTCCTTCAGTGGCTGTGACACCACCTTAGCATTTTTCCGAATTGGCAAGAAAAAAATGATCACCTTGCTCCACAATGACTCTGAGCTGCAGAAGACGATAAGCGTTTTTTTAAATTAGGTAGCGAAAAGGAGAGTCAGGATTGGACAAAAAACGTAAGGCAATGTCATAATTGCGGGGAACAAGGTCATTATGCGATAGATTGCCCTTTCAAGGCAAAAGGTATGAAGTGCTTCAATTGCAGAGAATTCGGACACATTGCGGCAAAATGTCAGAAAAAGAATATTAGCAAAGTCAAAAATATGTGTGATATTTCCAGAAATC